GCCCAGTGCCACCCGTGCCCAGTGCCACCCGTGCCCAGTGCCACCCATGCCCACAGCAGCTCTGCACACTGCGGTCACTTACGCTCTCTTTGGGTAAATGGTTCCAATCCTTTTGCAATCATAGATGGTGAAATTGGCCCGGATAATGTTTTTGTTGTTGACCCGGAGAGAAGTTTCAACAATCACGTGGTCTGAGAAAATCAAGCCAAGGAATATTGGGTTGCAAGAGCCCCTTGCTCACACTCAGTAGACAAGAGAGACCCTTGGGAAAACARAGCTAAATCGGATTTGTTTTCTCTAGGGCTTCCTCTGAGCTGCATTTCAGAGCCTGAACCAGTCATGCTTTGTCCTCTGACCTTCAGCTCTTCCCTTCTAAGTATGCACTTTACAGAACTCTCACAGAAAAGAACACTGTGACTTTCGGTGGAAAATTCCAGCATGTTGTGCAAGTGTTAATTAGCAGATTTAATTATTGCCTTCATGTAGAGTTGGTGCTAAAACGTATTATTTTTTTTTTAATGTGGTAATTAAAACATGTTAGTTATCRTGTTTTAAAATCCCGCTCACTTTCCCCATGCCAACAAACCTGCGCAGAGTGGAAATTCCTTTTTCAGCTGCTCAATACTACCACCAYACTACCCTCCCTCCTCCCAAAATTGCTTCATTTTTTTCTTTGCAATTTTGCCATATAAGCACCAGGGAGAAGAAACAATGCCTCTTTCAGAATACGGACAATAAATCAGCACACTGGATTCCAGAAATTCATYTGGACATCGCCATAACCAACAATACAGAGCAGTTAATAATCTCCCATTCTTTGGATAGTTTGGGAGAAAAGTAATGCAGCTCCACAAAYGGGCCTAGGAAAAGTGGAATTTTCAGAAGGACTAGCTAATTCTCCCCCTGTTGAAGTCAGCCATCRTCAACAGCACGTTCACTCCAGGCTTGAAGTATGAAAATTTAACAAGCACTCAAGTCTGGAATGGAGCACCAAACCTCTCTGTAGGCACTGAGAGCGGCTGACTCCTTGCAAAGAGGCCACTTTGAGATCTGCTCAGCTCAGCTGAATTCTCAGA